TTCATTGGTTCGAATCCTGGGCACGGACATGACACTGCTCATTGAACCACACTGAGGCGACGTCCCACATGCCACAACTAGAAGGACCCACAATGAAGAATATACAACTGTGTACCGGGGGGCTTTGGGGAGAAAAAGGAAAAAATAAAATCTTTAAAAAAAAAAAATCTATGACTGGTTATTGTCAATAGTTGTGGAGTCCTTAATTTGAGCAGCAACTAGAAAAAATAGTTATATTAATCTAGAGAAAAATAGTTTTCAAAGGTGACAATGTGAAATACACTTTATTTTCATAAAAAAATAGATCATTTAGATCATTGTAGACTTTCTCCCTCAAGATAATATTTTCTTATTACTTTAAATCTAGAAAATACAGAAAAATAGAAAGAAAACAGTTCACACCACCCAATTGCTCACCATCTATATTGAGATCTTTCTACTGGTCCTTTTGCTATGCAGATGTCACCACAATTGTCACTTTCTTTTCCGTTTAACATTTTACCACAAATGGGCTGGACTGAGGCAGAAGGAATAAATGATAGCACCGAATATTCTTTTAACAGAGTATTCTATTTCTTTATATCTGGCTAAGACCTCAGCAGCTCAGCACAACTGAAAAGCCTACATCTGGGGACACTTGAGCCTGGAATCTTGGTCACAGCTGAGCAGGTCTGACTTTCAGCTTCTACTATAGAAGAGGAGCTCAGGCAATGGGTCTGGTACTAGGTGCTGAAGGACCCACAACTTCCCTCCCTGGGCCACATCCCCTTTACAACTGCTTCCTCCTCTTAGCCGTCAGGGAATAATTTGCACAACTAACTAGCATCGCTATACCAAGGAGGCCCTGTGTATAATTAGTATAACTGGAAAGGAAGGTTCCTTAAAGTTGAAAGTCTAGGCCACCTCTATTTCTCAAAGCTTCATTTCACGTGTATTCCTCTCTGACCCTTCACAGTACACCGTCTTACCATTTTAGAGGATATGGTGCTGAAATGGGAAGACCTGGTCCTGCCCCGGAACCTCCTTGCCCCTGATTCAATCTAGGCTTCCTCCTTTGCTTAAGCACACACCTCTGATTGTCCAAATTGGAATTATTCCCTACAATTTCTACTTTATGTGGACCCCGGATGTCGTCTATGGCAACTTGGCAGTTTCAAGGTGAAGCAATAATCCCACCGTGTCCTGGGCATTTCTGTGCATCTGGGACTGGGCAACATGCTTTGCTCACATCATTCTGTTTACTCCTCAGTAAACAGTTTGCTCTCACTTTTTCTTTCAAGGAAGATTGACCCTGAGCTAACATCTGTGCCCATCTTCCTCCACTATATATGTGGGATGCGTGCCACAGCATGGCTTGATAAGCAGTGTGTAGATCAGTTCCCAGGATCCAAGCCGGCAGACCCTGGGCCCCTAAAGAGTAGTGTGTGAATTTCACAGCTATGCCTCCAGGCTGACCCCCTCTCCATTTTTATGGATGAGAAAGAGTAGATGACATAATGTTCCCAAGACTACAGAGCTATCATGTTATTTTAGAGCATTTAAAGTCCCCTTCTGATGGGCCCTTGGGTGAAATGTTCTAATGAAGCTCAGATGGCGGGCATGGGTTTCTGGCAGGGATTACTGTTCTGTGCTTGTGCCTCCCTCCCAAGCAAGCAGCACACTCATTCCTCTATTCGTATCAAGTGGGAAATGAAGCATGGGATTTGTCTCTAGCCAGACCTGGCTCCATATCCCTACCTCATTCTCTGAAGATATTGTCAATCAATAGAAACAGAAAACAGTGTAAGAGCAAAGCATCTATTTGGGATCCAAGAATTGCAATTCGGAGTACAGCTTCAGGTAGAAACCCAAATAGTGTCCTATTTGCAGGAGAGGACTTCAGGGTTTTTATGGGAAAAAGGGAGGAAGGTGAGGTAAGTTGTATTGAAGAAGGGTTCATTGGTGCGAGAAGAGGCAAGGCTAAGATTGTACTTCATAGATTGGTTTGAGATTCAGTCGTCAGGAATAAGGCAGATTTTTACTTCACTGATTCGTTGGCAATTTGGTCATCGGCAAAGTCCAACTTGGTCAGCTCTTATAAACAGGATATTCTTGTCTTTACTGACTTCTTGGAATGCTGGCGCGTTGGTCCAGTTTAGAAGTCAAAGAAAACAAGATGAGCAAGACAATTCCTCTGACATGGCAGCTCAGCCTCTGTTTTAATATGACTCCTGTCATGTCGTCTCTCACAGTGTGCAGCTTTGTGAAAATGATTTAATTTTCTTTTTTTCCTAGCCCCACTTTCCCTATTTCTAAAGTGAGTCTAATAATATTAATCCCACAGGGCTATTTTCAGGATTTAGTAAAACAGTGAACACCAACCAATTAGTGCATTGCTATAGCGTAGTTGATGGTCAATCCAAGAACACCAGCATTGCTGTTACTTTTCCGTCAACCTTTTTTCCCTGAGGAAGATTCACCCTGAGCAATCATCTGCTGCCAATCTTCCTCGGGTGTTTTTTTTTTTCCATGAGGAAGATTAACCGTAAGCTAACATCCATGCCAGTCTTCCTCTGTTTTGTATGTGGGTCGTTGCCACAAAATGGCTGATGAGTGGTGTAGGTCCCCACCCAGAATCTGAACTCTAGAACTCAGATCACCAAAGTAAAGCCACAGAACTTAGCTGCTATGCCATGGGTCCAGCCCCCTCCATTGGCATTCTCTAGGTTTCTCAGAATGCTCACCATCATTGTCCCTCCTTTCAACTTGTGGTCAGAATTCTGTCTCTTCTCTCTAGGACCCCTCCCTCCCTCATTTCTCACCAGTCACCTCCTTGTGCCCCCAGGGAGCAGCACCACAGGGCCCTAACCTGGCCTTCACCACCCACCAAGGCATGGATCCTCTCGCAAGGTAACTTTTCTATTCTCCCCACCAGGGCAGGACACAGGGAGATGCTGGGCTTCTTGTCCTGCTGTGGGCCCTCCTGTTCCCAGTAAATCTGGCCTCCTTTCTGGGTGCAGGTGCACAGGAAGGGTCTCAGCCCCTTGCTGCCCCTGTTTTACTGCTGTCTCCCTAGCAGGTGCTGGTCAATGTGCTGGAGCCGGCCACAGGGGTGGGGTTAATGGTCACCCTGGCTCAGCTTGGCCATCTTGCCATGCATGGCCCACATCATGGTCAGCTACATCCACTCCGTACCACCACCAGTGGAGGGCAAGGATTCTGAGAGACTCCTCTGACTGGCTATGTTCACAGCAGATGTGCAGTGGGATTTGGTCCTAAAAGTAGATAAAAAGTCACCGTGATGGAGGCCTAGGATGGCTCAAGACATACCCTGTTGGTCCTGAGGTGAAAGTAGAGAAGCACAGTGCTTCTAAACTACGTTTACAGATGATCCAGTTCAGTGTTTCTGAAGCATTTTCAGGAGATTCTGTGCTGCAAAATCCAGTATCCGCTAGCCTCGTGCAGCTCTTGAGCACTTGAAATGCAGCCAGACCAATAGTTCAATCTGAGATGGACTGCATGTGTAAAGGACAAACCTTATTTTCAAGTTAAAATAAGGAAAACATTAATAATCTTTTATATTGACTGCACATTGAAATGATATTTTGGATATCTCAGACTAAAATATAGTCCTAAAATGAGTTTTACCTGTTTCCTTTTACTCTGTTTAATGCAGCAACTAAAAAAAATTTAATTTGTGGCTCAAATTAATGAGTCGCTTTTATTTCTATTTAACTGTTACAGATTAATGATCAAGAATCTGACCATCTCGAGTGAAGAATGCATAAACAAAATATTTTGCAAACAATTTCAAGGGTAAAAACTCTCTGCAGCAGAGGAGTCAGCGGTTAGATGCACACGAGACAATATTGCCGCCTTCTTGGCACCCTCATCCATTAGCAGGCCTGCCACTCAGATCATGGTGGTAGGTGACAATCCTCATGCAGGGTGATGCAGTCAGCCCTGGGGAGACATCGGGCCCTCCGCCTTCCACTTCCTCCCTAATGCCACCCCCTATGGGAATTAGGGCAGATCTCCAGCTGCTCTGCACCTCTGTTCTATTATCTATAAAATAATGTGGTTGAAGCTGACAGTATATGGTTCTGATTTCTGTATTAAAGCGGAATCATAAAAAAGTTATATCTACGTTCACCACATTCTTACAATGGCAGTCAAATTCTTGAAAAAAAAAGAAGAGAATAGAAAGGAAAGGAAAAGAAAAGAGGAGAAATCTGTGTTACTAATCTTCCAGCGCCACCAGGAAACTCCTCTGCTGCTATAAGTGGGGGAAAGAAAAAAGCTCTTTGGGATCTAGGCTGACTTAAAATACCTTTTCAATTGAAAAGTCAAGTTTATGTATAATTCAGTAGCACGGTAAAATGATTAATGAAAGGAAAGTCTAAATGATCTGAAGGAAATGACTTCCTCAGAATGTTAACTCACTATCAGCCTAAGCTTCTGTTATTGCAGTGAGAAAGCTATAATTCAGACATGCCTCTTGTGAAAGAGCCCAGCACCCCCAACCTCTCCTGAAGGCCTAGGTCGAGGCTAAGACCCCCCCCGTATGTGGGAGAAGGGGTCGGGGTAGAGGGGGCTGAATCTTACTTTAGGTTGCTTTTCAGGTTGTTCCTTCATTTCGGCTTCCCCATTGTGCTAATAAAACAGAACCCTTTCTCCTTCTTGCACCCACCTCAGTGCCATATCATTGCATCTTTATTACACCCACAGAACATAGTGCAATGTTCCCAAATAATGGGAGCTTCATGAATACTATTTGGATGAATGAGTCTTCTCAGTGTTCTCTGGTGGCCATATATTCTACGTGGTTTGATCTAAGGTGGAGGAGCTTGCTGTACTGTCTTCACATAGAGCGGATGTGCTAACAGTGGTGAGGACGCTCCTTCACAATGAGGCAGGGGAGCCATGTTCACCCTCCCCAATGGGAGGTTCCACGTGGTGGACTCAGCCAAGCTACGTGGTCTGAGCCTCTTCTCAGCAGGGGTTGCACAGTTCATTCAGACATGCTGTCACTCTTCCAAGCATTACCTCTTGCTGTCCTTGAAGCCTATAAGTTGTTTGCTTCCTCCAATTCCCTTTCACAGATTTTCTCTAATTTTGTAATTTTTGAAAAACTTCTAAGTTTTTGCATGTTACTGCCTGCTCCCTTTATTTTTAATGTGTGTATGGTGCAGGTTGTCTAGAGCAACCTCAACTTTCCAGTACTAAAAGGCTGTCAAAAACAGCCCCCTGGAATGTGTGGTATCTTGTGACAATTTCTACGATGTCCGTATATTGGTATCAGGAAAGCCCTGGTCAAGTCCTGCAACCCCTGCTGCACGTTTCATCTGACAACACTGTCAGGATGGAGTCAGGCGTTCCGATCGGCAAATTTAAGGTAGATGAGATACCTGAACCTTCTATGTCCACACTCACCACTCACAATGTAGGGACAGAAGACTCGGCCACCTACTACTGTGCCTTCTGGGAGGTGCACAGTGGCAGATGTTAGAGCTACATCAGTCAATAAATGTTCCATCGTTCTTCCTTCAATACTATGAACTGGAAAAGCACAGTGACCATTTGTATGTTTTTATGCAGTTTTCTAGATACACGTTCATGTGGGTGATTGTGGTTGGAGTTGCCGAATTCTTTATCTCCTCAAAGAGGAAGCTTTGCATGAATAGGTGCAAATGATCAGCCTGGTCTTTTCAGGAATTTACTCTCCCCAGAACAGGCTTTCCCATGGCGCCCAAGGTTACTCATCTGAGTCAACCTCCTCCACTTGCTCTATTTCATTTTCTACCAAGATATGTACACCACATCATTTCTGTGACTTCTTTTGTACTAGTCAATTTGTATAACATTCGTTTTTTTGTGACCCACCTTGCTACTTTGATTAAAAAACTGAATATTAGATTAAATACTATTCATTTTCCTAGAGGCTAAAATGTAACAAACACAGAATGATCTAACCACAAGCAGGGCTGACTGCAATAATAACATCAGATGCACGCCCTGGATTTGAATTAGCACAGAAGCTATAAACACTGCTGCTTAATGAGTCTGAAACAAAGTCTACCTTGGTTTGGAGTTTGGGAAGTCATTCGTTTTCTGGCTTAAGATTCCATTCATCTAACGGTAATTGTTTGATTGACTCCTCAGAGCCAGCACTGTGCTCAGCAGACATTGCAAATCTCATCTGCTCTGTCAAGGCTACAGGTTGCTCCTGCAGAGCCCCTTTCTCCTGCTGCACTGCCGTTATCTGGCTACACATATGGTAAAGCAAAGTGGTTAGGACCCAGGCCTCTTGTCTAGAGAGCTCCAGGTCTGACCTGGGCTATGACACTTACTAGCTGTGTGTCAGGTCAATAGCTTCTCTAGCCCCTCTCGTCACCTGTACAACACAGGTCCTGTAGTTACCTCATGGGTTGTTGTGAGGGTTCCTGAGATGATGCACACTAAGCGTTTGTTCCAGTGCATGGCACACTGTGAGAGCTCAGTAATGTTAGATGATAAAAAACAAAGAAAACAACAACTAGCATACATACACATAGAGAAACACACACACACACATACCACACACCCTTGCATACAAAGGCTTAGCACCACATCTGTCAGAGTGCGGCTGACTGTTACAGTTTAGTAAAGAGAGATTAGCTGGATATGAAGTGACTCCTGGGAGTAGTCATCCCAGATCAATTTAATTCTAAGTTTTCAATCATGGTTCTATAGTCCCCTTGACTTACACACATTGGGGAGGACAGTGGCCTTGGACTTGGAGCAGACCACCTCTACTGGGGGAAAAACAAGTCCATATTTGGAGTCACTTCGTCCTCCTGCCCTTCTCCTTGAGGCTGAGGTAGCTTCCCCAAGGATATTTTGACCACACCCACCAAAGGCAAACCAGCCAGAGGAAACCAGCCCCGTCTAAGTGAACATTTGCCAACTGAATGGTGGTTTAAATTGCTGATTCATAGAAACCCTGAAGATGTCTACTGGAACGTACAGCACCAAATATAGTGGGGAGTCAGGTAATGTCTGTAGAATTGAGATGAATATGTTGATTATTACTGTGGTGCTCACATTACCCAGTGGGTGGGGATTGTGTGTACTTGGATGCCTGAAAGATCCTGATGATTTTGGCTCAATTTATTTTCCTTCAGACCTGAAGTGGGTGAGATGCAATGACTCTGAGTAACAGAAGCAACATTATAGTGTCTAATGAATGTCGATGAGAATCCCAGAAATTCTTCAGGATCACGATTTTCATGGAACATATATCTATCACCCAGCTCCCCACACACCCTAGTACAGTGGGAAAGTGATGCCTGTAACCCAGGAGTCATCTTGTAAAACTCTCAACTCAAACAGTTGCCAGGATCCCCTGCAATCCATGTTGACTGCTTTGTCTTGGGGTCTCTTTTTATTCAGCCCTAAGACTGGGTTCTGAGGACCGGGCACAATTTTGGAGTGGTCATCCCTTGATATCCTGGATAGTTTTTTCTGTGACATTTCCATAGTCCTCCAATTGTCTATTAGAAAACACTTATGACTCTTGAATTCTATTTAATTTTAAAATGTATTTGTAAAAATCATTCATGTTTCATGATATTAAAACTATGTCTGTATATTATTGAGCACAGGTGAAATTTGGCGATTAGAAAGTCTTGTGATGAGCTTTGTCTTGACCAAGTTTTCTACTATTTTCTCTAACTTTTGCCTGCTTTACAAAGCAAAATTTGATTTCTCTCCTGATTGTTACTGATCCTGTCTTCCAAGTTAGAGACAAAGTTCATGGTTGGGTGCTCATGGTGGTTTATTGGGCTTGAAAACCTCTTTCTCCCTACATTTTACAGATAGAAAGTATTACAGATAGTGGTACACATACTCAGTTCTTCTCTCTCTCTCTTTTTTCACCTTTTACTGAGATTTATTTTCTAATTATTTTTGTTATTATTATTTCATTGAAGTCATCTTGGTTTATAATATTGTGTAAATTTCAGTTGTATTTCTACTTTTATATTTCTCCTTTTTTTTTTTTTAGATTTGCACCTGGGCTAACAACTGTTGCCAATCTTTTTTTTTTTTTTCTGTTTTATCTCCCCAAACCCTGCCCTGTACACAGTTGTATATCTTAGTGGCAGGTCCTTCTAGTTGTGGCATGTCGGATGTCTCCTCAACGTGGCCCGAGAAGCGGTGGCATGTCTGCACCCAGGATCCGAAACCTGGGCCGCAGCTGAGTGCGCGAACTTAACCACTCAGCCACGGAGCCAGCCCTAATATATTTCTACTTTTGTATAGACCGCACCATGTTCAGCCCCAAACGTCTAGTTTTCGTCGGTCACCATATTTATGTGTCCCTTTACCCTTTTGCCCTGCCCGCACCTCCTTCCCCTCTGGTAACCACCAATCTGTTCTTTTTAGCAACGTGTTTGTTTCTTCATTTATCTTCCACATGTGAGTGAAATCACACAGTGTTTGTCTTTATCTGACATTTTTCGCTTTGTATAATACCCTTAATGTCTATGCATGTTGTCACAAATGGCGTGATTTCAGCCTTTATTTTGGCTGAATATTATTCCATTGTCTATATGTACTACATCATTTTTATCCATTCCTCCACTGATGGACTCTTGGATTGCTTCTAAACCTTCACTATTGTGAATAGTGCTGAAATTAACATAGGGGTGCATACATGTTTTCAAATTAATGTTTCCATGTTCTTTGGATAGATAGCCAGGAGTGGAATAAATAGGTCATAAGATATTTCTAATTTTAGTTTTTGGGGAAATCTCCTTCCTGTATCTATACTGGCTGCCTCAGTTTGTATTCCCTCCAGCAGTGTATGAGGGTTCCTTTTGCTCCACATCCTCTACAGTACTTATCATTTCTTGTCTTTTTAATAGTAGCCAATCTGACGGGTGCGAAATGATATCTCATTCTAGTTTTGATTTGCATTTCTCCAGTAGATAGTGATGTTGAACTCCTTTTCATGTGACTGTTGAACATCTGTACATCTTTGCAAAAGTGTCTGTTCATATCCTCTGCCCATTTTTGATTGAGTTGTTCATTCTTTTGGTATTAAGTTGTATGAGTTCTTCATGTATTTTGGAAATTAACCCCATATCTGATATATGATTTGTAGATAGTTCTTTCCCAGTGAGTGTGTTCTTTTGTTTTATGATGGTTTCTTTACCCCTACAGAAGGTTTTTAGTTCAATGTAGTCCCATTTCTTTATTTTTTCTTTTGTTTCCCTTGCCTGAGGATCCATGGCATTCAAAAAGATCCTGAAAAGACTGATGTCAAGGGTGCACTGCCTATGCTTTCTTCTAGGACTTTTATGGTTTCAGGTCTTACATTTAAGTCTTTAATCCATTTTGAGTTAAATTTTGCATATGGTATAAGATAATGGCTTACTTTCATTCCCTTTTATGTGGCTGTCCAGTTTCCCAACACCATTTATTGAAGAGACTTTCCTTTCTCCATTGTATGTTCTTGGCTCCTTTGTCAAAGATTAGTGTTCATAGATGTGTGATTTTATTTCTGGACTCTCAATTCTGTTCCACGGATATGTGAGTTTGTTCTTCTGTCAGTACCATCCTGTTTTGATTACTATAGCTTTGTAGTATATTTTGAATTCACAGGTGTGATACCTGCAGCTTTGTTTTTTTTCTCAGGGCTGCATTGGCTATTTGGCATCTTTTGTTGTTCCGTATAAATTTTAGAATTCTTTGGTCTATTTCCATGAAAAACGTCATTGGGATTCTAATTGAGGTTGCATTGAATCTGTAGAATAGTTTAGGTAATATGGACATTTAAAATGTGTTAATTCTTCCAACATGTGAGCACAGAATATCTTTGCATTTCTTTGTGACTTCTTCAATTCCTTTCAATAATGTCTTATAATATTCAGTGTCCAGGGCTTCATCTCCTTGGTTAAATTTATTCCTCGGTGATTTATTCTTCTTGTTGCAATTGTAAATAGAATTGTATTCTTGATTTCTATTTCTGCTTGGTTGTTTTTAGTTTATAGAAACAACTCATTGATGCGTTTATTTTTTTGGTAAGGCAGATTGATCCTGAGTTAACACATATTGCCAATCTTCCTCTTTTAGCTTGGGGAAGATTGTCACTGGGCTAACATCTGTCCCAATTTTCCTCTATTTTGTATGTGGGATGCCACCAGAGCCTGGATTGATGAGTGCTGTGTAGGTCTGTGCATGGGATCTGAATCCATGCACCCCAGGCCATGAGAACTTAACTAATCTGAGAACTTAACCAGCATGAGAACTTAAGCACTATTTCATCAGGGGGCCCTGAAACAACTGATTTTTATGTGTTGATTTTGTACCCTAGAACTTTGAATTTCATTTATAATTTCCAACAGTCTTTTGGTAGATTCCTGTGGGTTTTCTACATAGAAAATAGTGACAAATGGTGACAGTTTTACTTCTTCCTTTAGAATTTGGATAGTTTTAATTTCCTTTTCTTGCCTAATTGCTCTGGCTAGGATTTCCAATATGATGTCAAATAAGAGTGGTGAAAGCGGGCCTCCTTACGTTGTTCTTGTTCTTGGGGGTATCTTTCATGTTTTCACCACTGACTATGATGTTATCTATGAATTTATCTTGTAAGGTCTTTATTATGTTGAGGTAGTTTTCTTCTATACACATCTTATTGAGAGTTTTTGGCATAAGTGGGTGCTTAATCTTATCAAATGCTTCCTCTGCAACTATTGAGATGATCATGTGATTTTTACTCTTCATTTACTTAATGTGGTGTATCACATTGATTGGACTGTGGATGTTGAACCACTTGCACCCCTTGAAGAAATTTCACTTGATTGTGGTATATGAACCTTTCAAAGTATTGTTGTATTCAATCGGCTAATATATTGTTGAGAATTTTTGCATCTATGTTCATGATCGATTTTGGCCAGTAATTTTCTCTTTTTGTGTCATCCTTATCTGTTTTTGGTATCAGGGTAATGTTGAACTTGTAAAATGAATTAGGAAGCATCCCCTTCTCTTCAAATTTTTGGAAAAGTTTGAGAAGGATAGGTATTATATCTTCTTTGAATGTTTGGTAAGCTTGAGCAGAGACGTTGACTGATGCTGGACTTTCGTATTTTTGGAGGTTTTTGATTGCTGTTCAAATCTCCTTGAAAGTCACTGGTCTATTCAGATTCTTTATTTCTCTTTGATTCAGTTTCGTAATGTGGTATTATATTGGGAATTTATCCCTTTTTTCAGGGTAATTTCCTTGCTTTTGGTTTCTCATAGCACTATAATCCTTTGTACTCCTGTGGTATCTGTCCCACTTTCTCCTCTTTCATTTCTGCTTTTATTTATTTGAGCCTTCTCCCTTTTTGTCTCAGTGAACCTATTAAAGGTTAGTCAATTTTATTTATCTTTTCAAAGAGTCAGCTCTTAGTTTCACCGATCCTTTCCATTTTCTTTTCAGTCTCTATTTCATTTATATCCACTCTCATTTTTATTATTTCCTTCTTTCTACTGATTTTGGGCTTCATTTATTCTCCTTTTTCTGGTTCCTTTAGGTGTAATGTCAAAGTGTTTATTGGAGATTTTTCTTGTTTTTAGAGGTAGACCTGTGTTGTATTAACTTTCCTCTTAGTACCACTTTTTCTGTATCCCATAGATTTTGGTCTGTTGTGTTTCATTTTCATTTGAATTTAGGTGCATTTTTATTTATTCTTGGAATTCTTCATTGATCCAGTAGTGATTTCGCAGCATATTTGTGACTTTTCAAGCTTTCTTCTTATCATTGAATTCTAGTTTCACATTCTGTGATCACAAAGCATGCATGATGTGATTTCAAATTTTAGCTGAAACAATCTATTATTTCATAGAATATAAATTCTACAGATTTCTTCTTTTATACCATGAAAAGTAACACCATCACATAGATTATTTCCTCTTTTGGCATTACTGGGTAAAGAATTACATTGCCAAATGGTAAACGTGGCTTTATTAAACTGTAGAAATTTGTTCACATTTCTCAAGTACATGTATTGGCATATTTCCATTTCAGTTACTGAAAAGTTTCTTCCTTTCAGAAATACATTCTCAAATTGCTAACGAAGCAACTCTAGTGTTTGTGAGAACAAAAGTGCCTTTCCTTTGATGTATCTCTGAGCACTTTCAACACAATTGAACACCTGGAAATAAAAAAGTATTCTTAAATCTCTGAATGCTTTTCTTAGTAATTTATAAAAGTAGTTAGTTGGTCAGTTGGCCTGATCTCTTCCTCTTCCTCTCTTACTTTTTCTGTTTTCCATCAATGTTTTTCAATGATTAGTGCCTTGTAGGAAAAAAGATATTTGGGTCAATTTATCTGAGGACAACATACAAAATATCTGATGTCACAAAACTTATATTCAAGGACTTCCAAGGAACCCAGAAGATCAAATTGCCAGTACAGTCTTTTCCTGCTAGTTACATCATAAAGCTTAGAAGGAGGCTGAGTTTTTGTAGAAGCTTTAACCAGTGTGATAGATCAAACTGGATCAAGAAATTTGGAAAAGGAACTAAGCTCATAGTAACTCCATCTGGTAAGTAACTTTCATCTATTTTTACTCTAGTAACGAAAAAGTGATATATGCTTTTTAGAAAAAGCAATTCAAGATTACTCTCATCTGACTGCCACATAGTTGGCCTCAGTATATGAACAGCATGTTTGCAGCTACTGGTCCATGTACACAAAAACAAAACTGTTTTTAAACGGTTTGTTCATGTCCCTGCTTGTAAGCAGATTGAAATTCTTCTTTTAGAATACATAGACAAAAAATGATCAACTCAAGCTAAAAATTAAGATATTTTGAGGTATGTGTCTGTCATCCATAAGTTATTGGTTCAAGATGCTTTTCTCCTAGATTGTCATTTAAGTGAGAGATACTTTTATTAATTACCTCTTCTCTATATTTTGAGATAAAATGTAGTGCCCCTTTCGCACAATAACCTGCAAAATCTATAGTATTGATCATCTCATTCTAACAGCAGTGAAAAACATCAATTCTTAAAGTAAATGAGCATAGAATATAGATAAGTCTCATTTCTTATTATTCTAGCTTCTAAGAGGTAGGCTGACATCAGTCCAAAGTTATGCTATCACAACTTTTGTAGTGTTGCCTAGAGACGGGCCAGTTTAAGGCAATTTGTAAGCCAAATAAGCCATTTCAGCTCCAAAGTCCATTAAAAGAGTCTGCCTGGTTTTACATCCTCATTTGCGTGTTCATTCTGTCAGCAAACGTTCATTGAAGACAATTTCTGTGTTGGATGCTGGAGATAAGTGGGGGAAGAAGATCAAGATAGAACAAGTCCCAGTACTCCAAAAGTTTCTAGTCTAGTGGATAAGTGTTCTAACTCCAACCAGGTCCTTGGAGACACTTCTCTGCCTCACCTATCGAGGAGGACATTCACAAGGAGTCAACTAGTTAGAACAATTGTGAACCCCTAAGGCATTGAGATGTTAAGTCCATTTGGTATTCCTATGTTGAAAATTTCATAATGAAGTTTATATATTTTACTTATTTGATTCTAGAAATAACCAATGGGGTGAGATGAACAGAAATTGGTAAACTTGTCATTTGGTGCGAGGATGATTAACACCAACATTTAACTGGGCAGCCAGATTAAAGAATGTCACAAAATGGTTTTGTTTTTTCTAAATTCAGCCTAATAAATTTGTTCATTCCTCATTAGCCTTAAATATGAAATTCTGCCTTAATGAGGGAGAATATCTCACAAGCATGTTCCTAGCCTACTAGATCCACTGAATTGAAAGTGGTCAAATAATTTTCCAGAGGTGCTAAGGCATTGAAAGAATTTATATAATTTGATTTCCATAGTCATTGTGATTATAAACAAAGAATTCACAATTTGAAAGCCAAATTTTTAGTCCTTTTTTCCCAACTGACTGTGTATTCATTGTAAATTCTAGCAATCAAATTAAATAATGGTGACACAGATATAAGTCATGTAAAATGTCAGGGAAGCTTTTCTTAATCTATTCTGTTATTCTATAAATGTGCAATGTAAGCATGAACTGTAGAGCTTTATTCTCAAGTAATATTTACCAAATCCATGGTATGTTTTTACATTTTCTTTCACCAGTGCTAGCTCCAAAACTAGCCGTAATTGAGTTCATTTCATGTAAAGATCTTGCACAAGTAGTAGTCTTTAATCACAGCAGAGTATCAGAAGAGTATCTTTTTATATGGGAAGTAGCATTCGGACTGCAACATATGGTGACCCTTGTTTTCTGAGGGGAAATTTTGGGAAAGAGAGCCTCACTTTATGTTCTGGCACTTTCAGTCTGTTTGAATTCTGCACGTTTTGTGTCTATATCACAGAACTAGAGTTTGCAAACATATTCTCTCACCTCTCATGTCATATTCAACTTAGACCTTACTCAACTATCAACTGCTGGTTCACAAAAAGAAGTGTTATAATGCACAAACTATTTGTCATTTATTTCAACTGCCTATTTCCAAAATCTATATAAGACCTAAAATCAAATACACAAGTACAGGCATATCTCACTTTGTGGCACTCTGCTTTACTGCACTTCGCAGATACTGCATTTTTTAAAGCTTGAAACTTCCTGGCAAACTTGCATCAAACAAGTCTATCAGCACCATTCTTCTCAAAGATTTGCTCACTTCATTTTTCTGTGTCACCTTTTGGAAATTATTCCAATATTTCAAAATTTTTCATTTCTCAAAATTTTTTTTCTTTTCTTCTCAAAGAAGAAATTTAATTCTTCTTTTTAAAAGAAATTGTCCATTGAATTACACAACTCCAAACTGGCACAAAGACAATATTAGTAAAGCATTTGTGTGTCAATTGGAAATCTAATTGAAAAGAGTTTTAATATTTATGATTCCTATCATTAGATTATCAGTAAATGTATAATCAACTGACACTCCAGCATCCAAGTGGCATGCCTTTGTAAACTATGATGTTTTGTTATATAGTTTGACAAATATCTGCAAGAGACTCTGGAACTGTGACATTTAACATTACACCTGTTATATATATATACTTTATTAAACAGGTCAAAACAAAGGAAATATTGGAGCTCTAAAACAGTTCAGCAGACTAATGGGTAGATACAAGTTTTGGAAGAGGCATTGAGAGATATAATGTGGTGTATTCTTCATCACGCTTAAACAACAAGAAATTCCAAAATAAAATGTACTCTTGATGAGCATATTCTAAAGTGAAACAAAATTCTGATGAGTACCTTTACTTGATACGATTACTGTAATGTCATTTCTGAAAACAATTAATTTATTAATAGGAATTTTAGAAACATGGCTTTTTGCTTCTAAATTCAAGGCATTGTAAATAATTTGGAGGTTCAGCTTAAATATTGCCCTACTCAAAAATCTGGGATGGTGCAAAAGTGAAATTGAGATGTTGTATAAAAGTAGGCATCAAGTAGGAGAACTCCATCACCTCAGAAGTGAGCATGAGATCCAGATTTGAAACTAACAAGTCAACTTGATTGTCAAGTAGATGTGGAAATGAATACCCATTAACAAGTGATGGTGCATTGTTTTAAAAAATGAAAACTTTTCTCTGATACTCATTTACACAGCAAATAAGACAAATATGGTGCATTCCAGAATGTGTTAAATGAAAAGGGAGGTTTCATAGAGTTGCAGAAGTGAGAATGTATTATTTGGCCATAGATAGCACAGGTTACAAAATTCATGGGACAGGAAAAGGAAAGTACTTTAGAAAGGACCAAACATGCTCATGTGTAGAGACATCATCTAAGTTACCTGGTCTCCTCCCCCATCCCCGCCACTTACCCATTCACCTTGAAAACATGCTCCACTATGATAGAACAAAAGAGATTTAAAAAAATTAACATGTTCATGAGTGTTAGATACCTTGAAATGGCACAGTTACAAGTCATACCCCATCTTGACACGTGGAGAAAGAACAAAGGCCAATTTGTAATCCAGGCCCTGCCACTTAATAGCTGTGACTCTGGGCAAATTACATAACCTCCAGAACCTCTTTTCCCATTGAAACTAAAACCAATAAGTACCTCATAATCTATAGTGGATGAAAGGCCATGGAAAGTACTAATTAGTGGGCTCTTTTCTTCCTTTTACTATCCTTTAGGTTGTTACAAATCACACAGTCTTTGTGTTTCTCTAATGATTCTTTTTAATTGCTGATCCTTTTTCCCCCACAGATGCACGCCTTCCTGCAGACATTTCCCCCAAGCCCACCATTTTTCTTCCATCAATTGCTGAAATAAACTACCATAAGGCTGGAACATATCTTTGTCTTCTTGAGAAATTCTTCCCTGATGTTATCAAGGTGTATTGGAAAGAAAAGAACAGGGATACAATCCTGCAATCCCAGCAGGGAAATACCATGAAGACTGATAACACTTACATGAAATTCAGCTGGCTGACCGTGACTGGAAAGTCAATGGATAAAGAACACGAATTCATTGTCCAACACGAGAATAACAAAGGAGGGGTTGACCAAGAGATTCTTTTTCCTTCAGTCAACAAAGGTACGTGTATATAAATAAAACCTGCCAAAATACTTTTTTTCAAACAGAATATCCCACCTTTTCTGTCAGGTATTAATGGAAAAAATACATATATATAAATCTTTCTTAAATATTGTCCATTTGTTGGTAGGATAAATGTCTTTTCGTAACCCCACAGAAAAAAGATAGAATAGTCTTTGGAACACAAAAAAGAAAAAGCAAAATTTCCTTAATTTTTCTCAGCCTCAGTTTCATCAACAAAAATATTAATATCTCAGAGATGCTTTTAGAGTTGTTCTGTGGATTAAATGAAATAACACACATGAAAGCATCTAACAATTTAGCACACAAAACTTGCTCAAAAAGAGATTCCACTTTTGATGATCGTGATCAAGAATAAGAACAATTATGCTTCTTTCAGGAGTGTTCTACTCAGGAAACAAAGTCATTTTCAATTTCATCTTGCTATCCTCAGAGTATAAGCCAAAGCAGTGCTATTAGGTGACCAAATGGTGTGCATTCGATGGAGCCAAATCACGGTCCAACAAAAAATACAATAGTGAAGTATTTAACATAGTGCCTTGCACAGTAGTAATCACTCAATAGCTACTGGCTCTTATTCATATTGCTGTCATGTCCAGAAACACAACTCCAGAAAACCCTGTACAGGAGTTGGGGTTATGGGGCTATGCGTGCTTTGGAAAAATCTGCATGCTTCTTTTCCTTCAGTGGGAAATTTGCCTAAAGCAGATTCTTTCAAAGGTGAGATTCTGTTGTGGATACTAAGATTTGATGAACTGATTTTTGTAGCAACTCTTCATGTTAGCAGCGTGTGCTGAAGTCTGTAGAGTAGCCATATTTGCTGTTTATTTTTCCATTCAACAACTGTTTCTCCATCACCTGCTTTGTGGCAGTCACTGTGCTAGGAGCTGTGAATACAGATGAAAAATAAGATAGCCTTGGATATCACCCTCCAGTTGAGATAAAGAAGAAAAATAATGTATCCTTCGTGAAGGTCAACATCTCATGTGCAGAAACACAATACCTGAATGAGATCTACTGGATTAGATAGAATTAGATGACCTAGTCCTGGAATCGTAGGGCTCATGTTTTTAAGGACAGTCTCTCTGTCGGCAGATTTTGTGTGTTTGTACGTATACACACCTACTCATATAAAGACATAACCAGACTGCTGAGCAATGGGCATGAATAATTGACTAATCTTGCTCTCATTTCTTCTAGTTGTCACCTCAATGGCCACTACTACTGGTCCTACAGAGGCTTCTCCGACAGAGGAGAGCAGTAAGTTGTCTATTTTTGCCCCTATGTCATGCTATAGGCTTTTTTTCCCCCTTCTGGTCAACTTAACTTTTGTACTTCTCTGGCTCAAAGCAGAAAAGACTATTTATTCCTGGAATTGTGGGGCTCATAATTTTCATATTTTTAATGACTGTTCCTCTTGGCTGCCAGCACATTCTATGAGTACAGATACTGTTAAAAAATGGACCTGGAAAATTGACTAAAACTTGGTCTCATTTCTTCCAGTTGCCACTACTCTTGATTCTACAATAGTTTCCCCAACAGAGGAAAGTGGTGAGTTTTTGTATATGCCTGCCTTCCTGTTAACGCTATAGCAATTTTTTCCCTTCCGATCAAAATACCTTTTGAACTCCCTTGTTCATAGTAGATAAGGTCATTTATTCCTGGATTGGTGGAGCTCATATTTTTAATGAGTCTCTCTCCTGGGTCTCTGTTGACAGATTTTATATATTTGTGTGTGTATGTATATATATAAACATATATATTAACTGTCAAATAACAGGCATGAATAGTTGACTAATACTTGCTCTCATTTCTTCTAGAGCTCTCTGCTCTTAATTACACAAAACCTTGTCTGAAAGATGAAAGCGGTAAGATCTTGTACATGTTTGCCTTTATGTCATGCTATATTAATTTGTTCATCCTGATTATCTTAACTTTTAAACGTACCTGACTTAAGGTGGAAAAGTAGAATGGCTGAATGTTTAAGAATAGGCTGAGAGGTAATTGAAGTCAATCCATTGTTTCCTAGGAGTCATGACACAGTACATGCTGATTTCATGATGACATGACTATAAATTAGACAGTGCTGTGTTAGGCTCTGAATTATTTCAACAATGGACTTCATTCATTTGTGTGGCTTTTGTTTTCTGATGACTGGGGAATACGTGATATCAAGGTGCTTCTAGATTTCTTTCTTTCATTTTTCTTTTTAAAGATTTGTACCTGAGCTAACAAATGTTGTCAAGCTTTTCTTTTTTTCCATCTTCTTCTCCCCAAAGACCCCTGGTACATAGTTGCTTACTCTAGTTGTGAGTACCTCTGGCTGTGTGACGTGGGATACCGCCTCGGCATGGCCTGATGAGCGGCATCATGTCAGCCCCTGGGATCCGAACCTGGGAAACCCCGGGACACTGAAGCAGAGCTCACACACTTAACCACTTGACCCTGGGCGGGCCCCTAGATTTCTTCTTAAGTCTTTGGTCCTTGCTGGTAGCTAATAACGTGAACGGACATGTACTGAGAGCAGCCTACACCGAAGGCATTGTGCTGGGTTTTACAGGCATTTTCTTGTTAAATTTTCATAATAGTCCTGGGAGGTGGTATCGTATTTTACACCCACTTTATTCCTGAGGACAATGAGTTAAAATGAAGTCCCTTGCTACATGCCGCACAGCTAGATCTCGGGTTTCAATCCGGCCATCTGAATCAAGAGTTCATACACGTACTCAGTTTTCTCTTTTTTACTCTAAAATATAGTTATAGAGCAAGAAACCCAAAGCCACAGCCCAGAGACACGATGGACTCATGGTGGGGGGTGGGCAATAGCATGGGCTTCACAGTATCCTAGACTGGACTTGAACCTAGTTTTTTCACTTTTTAGTTATGTGAATATGGGTAAAATACTTACATTTTCTGAGCAAGACTTTCCTCATCTGCCAACTAGGAATAATTATAGTTATTGAAGAGATAAGGTCACCTGCGTGGAATGGCTAGCATACGATATCTCGTTTAGCTGGCACAGAACCAGTACCTGCTTCTCGTACTGTCTCCCTGCAAATGTATAAAGAAAATGACTAGAAGCATTGGCTCCAGCCCCGTTGATCGTCCCTCCATTTCCAATATCGAGGGGGTTCTGGACCTCAGCTAACACCTAACCTGGCCAAGGGCAAGGAATTATGACCACATTGCCTCTGAGATCCCTTTCCACAGCAAGTGCTAATGATTCGGAAGTTCTGACCCAGGATGATAAAACACGTAAAGGGAAATTTTCACAGGAAGAGGCTCAGCAATGTGGTTCATTGAATAGCCAGTCTGGTTCATCATCATTGTCGTTAGTTATTTCTTGACATCATACATTTCTTGCCAAACTTCAAAGGGTATTAAGTGCAATTGTACTCTAATATCATAGCCACAATGAGACACATTTAGAAAGAACAGGTGAGTGAGTCATGACCTCCTAAAGTTTCTGAGAATTTGGATTAACCACTCTCTTCTGTTTTCTATAATGCCCTCTTTACTCAAACCTCCCACCCACGCCACGGTGAACACCACAAAATTTCCGTGGACGGTACTCTTGATAGGAATCTCATGGCATGCACAACATGCAATGGTTCAGATGCTTCTAAATAGAATTCAGCTTTATATTTCTTTCTAAACTTTTGATGTCTGGGGTATTTATTGCACTTAGACATAGAATTACAGAATAGCTCAGAATGTGTTCTCAAAGTCATGGTACTGGGATTGAAATCTGATTTGTGGTACTAAATGCATGACACCAGTCAAATTATTTCATTCTGTCACTATATTTGAAAAATGGGAATAAAAACAATAATCCCATACAATAAAGCTCATAGCTTATTGTAAAAATTAGCTAAGATTAAAGCTGTGCATTCAAAGCTCTCAGAACAAGTGTTTGGCCTTTGGTTAATGGTTAACGGATATCAGCTATTACTTAGGGACATAGCGGGGGTGAAGAAATGCTAAAATCTATTTTTCACAAATAATGTTTCCCATTGCACTCACGCATTAAAATGTAAACCTTATTTTTCATATTTTGTAATGGTCTAAGTGAATTTAGCAGAGGCTGCTGATTGACAGCTGTTGTAAACTGGACTCTGAGTGGTGGTGTTGTTGTCCGTGGAGGTGGAGGGAGGAAATGTGTGCCTTCCTGTTTTGGTGGTGCAGGGGTGTCACTGCAATGTCCGTCGTCAGAAATAGAGAACTGTGACCACCCTCCCTTTATATGTCCATTATTGCAAAGAACAGTCAAAACTAATCATACGACTTCTCTTAGACACCCTGCGGCTGCAGCTCACCAACACCTCTGCCTATTACACCTACCTCGTGTTCCTTCTCGTGAGCGCAGTCTACCTTGCCACCGTCGCCTTGTGTGTGTTAAGGAGAACAGCTGTCTGGGGCAATGGAAAGAGTTCCTAACAGATGGTGACCCAAGAAATCAACTTTCCTCCATTGTTTATACACCCTACAACTTTCTGCCCAGGATCTAGTCGGACTTTCTCTCTGGGTTTGGGTTATTTCAGTTCACATGTGTACTTTTCTGTTATGTCATTATTGTGTACTGGTTTTTCAAATCACTGGACAAACAGAAAATCCTACTCTGTAACGATGCTGAATACTGCCATTACTCAGGGGCAGGGCCAAGCGGTAGTCCTTTAGCACCACTCTCTCCATGATCCCCATCAGCTCCTCCAACAACCCGAATAACCATGCCTTCTGAGTACAGACAACATGTGGCTCTAGTCACGTCGCTTAGGACCTTTTAACCAGAACCGCCTTGAAGCCCTCCATTTTACACACCCTAATCCAACATCATTGTTACTTAAATTCTATATATTTTTTTTTCATAATAGGAGCAATAAAAATATCAAAAGTCTATCTTTGTCTCTGTGTTCTTTAATTTGATTAAATCTAACTGAAAGTCCAAGATAAGAAGCAGCATGACACCTGAGCCATCACATCCAGTGCTGAGTTTGATGATGCCAATACCACAGTTGTAATTCTTTCCCTGAGAGAGGGGTCATGACGCTTTCTTTGGGGCACTGGCTCCAAGAGGAGCCACAGTCACATGAAGGCACCCAGGTTACTTCTCTTTGAAAGGTCACCAGATTCACACTCATTTGGTTTGGGTCATTCCAATGGTGTAAGTATAATGTCTTGAATGACTTGCACTGTGTGTGCTCAGCGCCACAATAGTGTTTACAAGCACTGTGTTTCCTGCTCCTCACAATAATCACCTGAGACCTGCACTCACATCAAGAGACATCGCAGTAGAGGGGTTAAGCCCCTGGACTCTGAGCCCGGAGTACCTGGGCTTGAATCCTGTGACCTCAGGGAAGCTATTTGAACTCTCTGTGCCATCACTTCCTCATCTGTAGAATGGAGTTACAGCGCCCTGTCTCCTGGAGTTGTGTGGATTAGATGAGTTAATAATGACTGGTTCTTGCAAGTCCCCAGTAACATTAGCATCTACTGTTGGCAGTTCTAATGTAGAGGTCATAGATCAACACAGAAACACTGACAGTCATCTGTAATCTCATTTCCCCTTAGAAAGTTTTGTTGTGGGTGGAATAGCGACTTTAAGTTTCTACTATAGACCAGGCAACCCTACTAATCCCCTAGGAGCCCCCAGAGGTAGGTACAATTATAGTCCACACTGTAGATATTGGAGAGATTAATTTTTCTGCTCAACGTCACTATTTTGTAGGTAATAGTCACTTAAATCCAGGTCTCTCTGTACTCAGAGCCAGTAGTTTCTAACCTACTATCAAGTGGCTTTCCCTTCAAACACTGTCAACTGGGAAAAACGAAACAAAACCAAACCTGCATTGCTTCCTTACCAAGAGCATCCTCCAAGGAGTCAGTGAGAATTTTGTTAAGGGCTTGTGGTGCATCTCTCTTTTCTCCTCATGTATATACGCCGTTATTCCCATAATTGCCCCCTTTGTTATCAAAGTATGGAAATCCTACTTTATACTGTGAGGGTTGGTCCTAGATTTGCAACTGCTGTTTGTGGGTTGCTAATGAAACGGACTGAGAGACTCAGGCTCAGCAGACCCATTAATGGTGCTCTCTGTGCAGACTATTCTGATACCTCAGCTGCTCCCCTAGACAGAATGGGCCCAGGGGTCCTCAGAATCAACTGTGGAAGTCTCTGGTAGGTCCAGGTGCACTTCTGAGGTAGGAAGTAGGCTACACATCATTTTTGGTCCAGTACTTTCCTTCACAGCATGACTGCCACATAGTGTGGTGGGAGAAACACTGGCCCAGCAGTTATACCTCAAATCCCATAGTTAGAGCCTCAGCTTCTTGTTCTACTGCTAACTAGTTATTTTGTTCTTGACCATGTCGCATTGTCTAAATTTAACCAGCTTTAGAAGAAAATGTTCAAATAAAATAATAGCAGGTTTACCGTACAATTTACAAACTCAATGATTAACATCTGAATGAAGTGTTAGTAGCAAATGTTGATATGGTGCTCACTGGTACTGGTCTAAGTACATGTTAAATTTTTACTCTCATAAGCACCCCAGGAGATAAGTACAATTATCTCTGTTTTATAGATGGGGAAACTGAGACAGAGAGGAGATATAAAGAATGTCCCATTCGTAAGATAACTATCGAGACACAGAGCTGGGACTGGAACCCAAGCAGTCTGGCTGCAGGAGTTCTGCTCTTAGACGCTGCATTATCTGCTACTAGAGTAGAAACAGGTTACTTTTAGTTTCAATTAAAACGGGAAAATTTTCTTCCTTATTGGGCTGAGAGCTGGTGGAGGGAACTGCCTCTTCACCTGTCCACACTTCCTCTCCTTGCTCCTAGGCTCTTCCTACATTTCGAGGGTCATAGGCCAAGCTGCCACACAGTTTTTCTGCCGGGATGACTTTTATACACTGTCCTCCACCAACCAATAGGACTTTGTGATTAAGGCCCATGGAACCTGGGTGGGTAAAATGGATACTAAAACAACAGGTTGCATCCACATGTGTGCAATGGAAAAACTAGGCAAAGATTTACACAATTCCACATAAAAACATGCATCTCAGTAGTCTTTTGAAAGCTAAAGTCTCCATATAATTCTCACGTATGATAAAGGGAAACCTCAAGGCAAAAATTCTCAAAATTCCCCCATGATGAGTTCTCTCTACTGCTTCAGAGATTTTTTTCCCCTGATACATCATTTTTGAAGGCTTTCTGTAAATCAAGCAGGTCACAGTTAAGTAATATTTGATTTTCTCCTCTACATTAATCAAAGTCCCATGTAACTGCCAATTAGAAAATCTGAGTAGTAAGAGCTAACCAGAGATACTGTACCAACATGATACAATCACCCAAACGGCTAGAATCTCAACATCTTCTTTAGCCATGGAATCTTGTTGGGTAAATGCATATATCCTGACATGTTCTGTTATTCTAGTTTTTGTTTGCTTCCTGTCTTTTGCTTTGTTTAAGTAACGGCAAGTACCTACCACTAAGTGAGCATCAGGAATTCTGCTAGGCAGTTTGCGTGCTGTATGTCTAATGTTCTCAATGTGCCACATACAGGTATCATGTTCATCACACTGATGAGAAAATTGGTCCTAAAGAGGCTAAAATATATGCCTGAGATTAAAACTGGAGTAGATCCCCAGGGCATGACTCCAGGTCTGCCTGACTTAAGACCTGCTGCTGTATCCATTATCCCAGTGGCTCTCCTCTTGGGAGCCTTTAAAAAATCCCTGAGGCCCAGCCTTCATCACAGGCAAAGCAGGCGTCTTTAAAAAACCTCCTTCAATATTCTAATGTGCACCAGGGTGGAAGCCAGCAAGTGACTGAAAGAACTCCTGAGCACCAGCTCTGCTGTCCCAGATCACACGTTGTGAAGAGCCATCACAGAGCCCATCACACAAGTGAGAACGTGCTGCATCCCTGAAAGGGTTCTTATCATTCCACCCATCGATTTCCTAAAGAAACAAAAGGTATGTACGAAGATTTATATGCAAGGATGTTCAATCACGATAGCACTGTTTATAGCAGCCCCAAGTTAACCCAACTGCTCAAGAAGAAACTAAAAAAGAAACTAAAGGATGTCATCATCGTCTACTATGCATCTTCAAAAGTGTAGATTGTTTAAAGAAGCTGAAAATTAATCAGAAAGCATTGGTGAAACAAATAATATGCATAGCCTGACCCTACAAAAATTGTTGGATAGCTTCATGTGGTTGAAAAATCAAAACACTCTAAAAAATGCAGTAAGTGATCTTGCTTCAACCACTGTCTCTACCTCTCTCACTTCTTACAGATCGTTTCTTGTGCTTCCTTACAGTTTTTATTTCAGCAAATATGAATGTACACATATAAATATGTGTGCCTGTATATATATTCTCATTTCCTCCCTTTTTACCCAGAGGTAGTAAACGATATGTGTTATTCTGTATTTCTCTTTTCCCTTAAACTTCCTAGAGCTCTTTTTAGAGGGTTTCTTAGAGGCTGCCTAATATTTCACCAATGAATGTACAACACTTTACAAAATCAGTTCCCTGTGACAGGCCATTGGTTCATTTCCAATCTTTTGCTCTTATAAAAAGTGCTGAACTTATAATAGTGTTTTCTGAAATTTTGAACACATGCTTTGTTCATTTTAAAAGGTATTGCCAACTTGCCCTCGATAGAGAGAGCACCATTTTGTACTTCTACCACCGTGTCGGTGAGCACCAAGAATGTGCCTCAGGAGTCTGCAAATCTGACAAGAGAATAATACTATCTCATCACAGTTGTAATTTGCTTTTCTCTTACCAGGAGTGAGGATAAACATCGTTTCATGTAGTGAACATCGATATTTCTTTTTCTGTGGAATATTTGTTCATAATCTTTCACCATGTTTTACTTTGAGATATAAAAACAACAGATATGACACTCATTTATAAGATTCTCTCTATTTCTACAGGCATAGGCACAAAACATGATGCCCGACATATGATAGGAGGGTGTAAAAATGATGAGTGTATATTTTTCAATTTTCTCTAACTAATCCTTTTAAAGTTAAAATCCTTATATATTCAAAGTAAACAATGTCTTATTTAAAAGTGGGGGATTTTTTTGTTTGTTTGTTTATTTCTTTGCAATCAGAGTTAGTTTCTGTGAAACGCGTTCCTTTGGAAACCAAGTAGAGTTTCTCATTTGGAAACAAAATAAGACCAATTAGATCCTAGAAAGGCGAATTTTGCAGATTCTCTAGGCCCAATCCCTGGCCCTCTCCTTAGAGACCTGGAACTGTATCTACGTTGGGAAAGAGTAGAAGCAAAGAGGAGAAACATGCAAATCACTGAGAGCTTTGTGCAGGTGACATCACTGCCAAGCACTGCTAGGCAGTGTCTCCCATGGCTTCCAACTTCTGAGCAGCTTCCTTCTGCACTGGGCCTGGGCTGCCCTGAACGAGGCGGCACAGAGAGGGAGAGCACAGGTGGTGGAGGGGACAGCCTGGGTGGTGGGAGGGGGCTAGTGTGGCTGCTGGTGTGTTATTTTCTCAGGCTTCTTTTGTGTACCTGCTCTGTCCAATGTGGTTGATTTGTGGAAAATGCTCAAACTCAAACCGATCCCTACTGCTTGGGGTTGTGGGAGCAGTGGGTTGGGAGTCATAAGACAAAATAAGGACAGTTAAACCACAACCAGCCTCGCTCACTTTTCAAAATGTCACACCAATCAAAAGAAAATAACCATCTACACCCACATGCAACTGCTATCAAACATACCCTTAGGCTGCAGGTAGGGGGTTCCCTGCCTTTTACATACAAAGTTCACTCAAGTAGGGACTACATGAGTTGGGATTTTATGCCCAGGACTGCTCAGATGCTGCATCTCAATCCACTCTCATGACCCTGTTCTGAAGGAAAGAGC